TGGCCATTTGTTAATTCACCTTCGCTCAGGAAGCCACAGGGGGTAAACAATTACTCTTTTATTGGATCAAAATTATTTCCAATAATTTTTAGTTGGAAGACCAATAAAAAGACTAGTGTAACCATTTACTGTATATCTGTATATTGCAATACTGTATGGGGATAATCGTTTGTTATTAGCGTTCTAGAAAAGTTTATAATAACTTGGCAATAAGATTATATAAAAACGAAAATTTTCTGGCTGCAAAGTAGATTATTTTGGATTTTTATTTTGGATTTTTATTTTATCGGGACATAAAACATCTCCCCGACGCCTCCGGACATACACTTTATTTACAGGACATTCATGGCCGTCCAGGACATTATGGCATGTATGCTACTAATGCAATTTCAATGAAACTTTTACAGGATTGATTGGTAGGTCAAAATCTTGCGCATATTTCACACGTTTACCGCTTAAATGATTTTTGGTCCAGTTGTGGCTCTTGAATGAAAAGGGTGTTAATAAATTGTCTGGACTACTCCTTTTATACCACTGATGCAATTTCAATGTGCAATTTCAATGAAACTTAACAGGATTGATTGGTAGTTCAAGGACTTGAAAATACTACACAAATTGTATTGCAATCAAATAAAGTCAAAAACAAGAGTTATTGCCCTTGAATAAAAAAGGTTGTTTGTGTTGCCAGCTATACAGAGGTTTGTCTGGGCTACTCTTCAGAAACTGCTTGTGCATTTTTATGAAAACTTTAGGGGAATGATAAATATCATGTCTAGTTGTGCATCGCGTCAACATTTTTCGGTTCATTGTTTTTTGTCAGAGTTTTGGCCCTTTCATGATATTAATTTTTAAATTTGTCCATTCCTGTTATATGATTAATGCAATTTCAATGGAACTTTAATGGATTAATCGATGGCTCAAATTCGTGTGCAATTTAAACATCTTTGTGTTGAATGATTTTTTTGCAGAGGTATGGCTATCATGAGGCAAACATGTCAACACGGATAGCCCTTGTTTTACAAAAAAAACTTGGTTTAAGGATATGGTTCTTTAAAACAGTCTGTAATTAGTTTGTAGCTTGAAGATCATGGTCAATTTAGGACTTTTAAGGTCTATAGGTTCATAAAGTACATTGATAGTTATATCTATCCTTTCTGCCGTCCATGAATGGATTTTTAAGTATCTAGGTATACGTCTGTGCCACATAAGGAAAACTTGTCACAATTAAAGTCCAGGTCACTAGTTCTAAATATGATGGATATACAATATCAAAATACTACATTGATAGTAACAACTGTGTCTAGTCATATTTTTGTCATTCAATCAGCGATTTAAAAATGAAAAATGGCTAACTGAGAATATGAAAAAATATATTATAATGTTTCAATATAAGTGAAACACTCTTTTTATAGTCACCATGCCTTTAAAGCAGCTGACCTCCAAAAGATAGCAGAAAAACTGCCGTCTTGCTAATATTTCAAAATCCCCCCTCAAAAACATTATAATTATAGTTGAAAGAAATCGAAATGGCGCTTCAAAATGTTCATGTTTTAACATTTTTGCTCTGAAAACAAACAGTTCGCTTTTCCATCAACGGGAAATACTTTCTTTTATTATACCACGGAATTCTTTCATCCGTTTTTTTTCTAGTATCACGTGATCGCCCAGGACAATATCGCAACCTGTGCTCCGGAACGCTCGGAATCCGGGATTTTATCAAACATAAAGGGATACGAATAACTGCTTTTGTTTTTATATTTGTAGTAATTCATGGCAATAAAAATTATAATTGATTAATTATTTCATATATATGAAGACCAATTTATCGATTTAACCTTTAGTTTGAAATGTGATAAGGGCCTACTTAATGACGAAAATTGATAAACGATCCCGGTCATACCGGATACCGGGATTTATCCGGATCACTGTTTTGACACGTGACCGCGTTAAATGAATTAACTTCTCCTATTTATATTGGCTACTGTGATAGTAACGTTGTAGATTATGGATAAGAAAACCCGATATATTAACGCTTTTGTCAACATTCTTTCATGAATTAAGGTGTCAGTAATGATGGATTTATACAATAAACCTAACTAGATCATTATTTACCATTTACTTGAAATTTTATTTCATTTCTTTCATTTTACCATCTGGAGGTCAGTGGCTTTAATGCAAGTCAATGTCATGGTTATTCCCATACTTGACCCTGCTTTGTGGGCATTTGGCTGTTTCAAAAAAACAGTTTTTGATTATTTGTCCCTACTGGTTAACTGGAAGGGACTTTAGGTTACAAATATGATATTTTATTTAATTTTACCCATGAAATATGGTGCTATATCAGTCAAATATATTTCACATTTTTAAAAAATAAATATGAAATATAAATATGAAAGTGGGCGGAGTCAAAACTCATATTTATTTTAAGGGACTTCTTTCGCCGTTTCGTTTGAAAAATCTGATAAATACAAAACAACTTTTTCTTGAATTTTGTTTTGAAAACTATCTAGCATGATAGAAAATGGTCTAAGAAAATTAATCCGAACACCAATATCTTTAATTCAGTAATTAACGCAGTACAGACGTTTAAAGGGCTGTTTACATGACGTCACAATGTAGCGCCAAACAGTGCGTGCTTACGCATAAATTACTGCGCGCTGTACAATTGCAGTTGGTAGCAAGCAAGGGGATTCGTTACCATTTTCTTTGATAATGAAATTAAATAAAAAGGTTAATTTTTCGTTATTCGTGAAATATGGTATATATTTTCACTCAACATGATAAAATGCCACACATTTTCACTCGCCGTACCGGCTCGTGAAAATATGTGGCATTTTATCATGTTTCGTGAAAATATATACCATATTTCACGCAAACGAAAAAATATCCTCTTATTATTTGAAATTGAGAAAGGGAGTAAAATTAAAACTGAAATAGCAAAGATTTTCAAATTCCAAAAAGTACGCTTTCGGATATTGTGTCTAAAATAGAAATAAACGACGTTTTTTTCTTAATCAAATGCTTTTCAAAATGGCGGACGTTGGTAAACAAACAGTTCGTTATATGTAAATCTGTTCTCTATAACAACTCCTAATACAATGAACTAATTCGCTATATGCTTACAAGGAACTCCGGATATAAGGAACAGATTTGAATGTCCTGATGAGTTCGTTATAAGCGGAGTTTACTGTACCATTTTATGGATTTAACCAGCTTCATATATTTTTAGTCCCCTACCGGTTTACCGGAGGGGACCTTAGGTTTACCCTCCATCCGTCTGTCCGTCCGTCAGTCCGTCCGTCCGTCTGTCCGTCCGTCAGTCCGTCCGTCCACAAAACTGGATCCCGCGATAACGCAAAAAGTACTGAAAATATTTTAATGAAACTTGATATATGGATAGATAGCAGTATGGAGATTATGCACGTCTTTTTCTTTTCTTCCTATGTTAAAAATTCTGGTTGCTATGACAACAAATAGACTAAAAATATGGCAAATTTTACACATAAACTGGATCCCGCGATAACACAAAAGTACTGAAAATATTTTTATGAAACTTAATATATGGATAGATGGCAGTATGGAGATTATGCACGTCTTTTTCTTTTTTTCCTATGCTGAAAATTCTGGTTGCTATGGCAACAAATAAACTGAAAATATGGCAAATTTTACACATAACCTGGATCCCGCGATAACGCAGAAAGTACTGAAAATATTTTTATGAAACTTGATATATGAATAGATGGCATTATGGAGATTACGCACGTCTTTTTCTTTTTTTCCTATGCTGAAAATTGTGGTTGCTATGGCAGCAAATAGACTGAATTTCAAGATTTCTGATTCTAGGTTTTAAGTTTTTTCACTATAAGTTCTTTATTTTTTAAGGTATTTTCTTCAAACTTTAAATATAAGTTGCTTGTCATCAACCACATCATATGTGACAAGGTTTACAACTCTAGGACAAAATTTATCAGAATTACCTCCCTTGAACTTAAAATTTTCATGAAAAAAAAAATATTTTTTTTTTATTAACTTCTTTTTTTCTGAATGTATCTACTTCAAACTTCATATAAATGTTTCTTATTATCACTCAACATTTGTTAGAAAGTTCAATACTCTAGCAAGACTATTTCCAGAATTATGCCCCTTTTGAACTTAGACTTTTTTTAAAAAATTGGTAATGTTTACTCCAACTTCTTCAATCATGATAGGATTTTCTTCACACTCCCACATCATAATAATAATTATGACAAGGTTTATAAATCTAGCATCCATATTTCCAGAATAATCTCCTTACACTTTTAATTTTTCCTATTCGTTCTTTTAACTTTCATTTACTTCAAATTCAAATTAGACATTCATTATTCATACCTTCATTACTAATTGTTCTTTGTTACACTCACATCATGTATGACATCTTGCATCTTTATTTCAAGAGTTATCTCCTTTTTATAAATTTTGTTTTAAAAATGTTATATTTTGATAACAGGGATGTTTAAAAAATAACTTTAGAGTGTCCTTCAGTCCGTCTGTCTGTCTGTACATAAAAACTGTTTCCTGTGATCACTTTTAAAGAACTTTTTCAACAAATTTACTTAAAATAGAAACATAAGTGAATGGCCAATGGCCCTTCAGAATGTTGCTGGGGTTCTAACCGGTAGTGGACTTATGGATTGCTTGCAATACTATGATAATTGCTTGTTCACCATGTCTTAAACAATTGATTTTTAATGTTGCTACTTGTTTAGATAACTTCTTAATTCAGGAAACTTCCAAATTCCAAACATTTTAGCTTGTGCCACAAGTGTTTCATTTTCAGAATGTACACTGTAAGCCATCTGCAATATCAACAGCATGCAATTAGGGGCTTCTCTTCTGCAGATAAGTATAGAAAAGTTAATACAAAATAATGCATATATATCTTGTCATTTAATTGAAACCCAAACTGTAAATCATCATGTAAAATTTTTATAAATATTTTTTTTTTCATAATGTAATTTCAGACTTTCCTTGTGTCATAAGTGGTGGTACAGTACTTCTGATAAACCCCCAGAAATCTGGAAAAAAAGTAAATATTTCACTAGACCTGTGTACGCTTGAGGAATATGAGGAAGAGGGACTAGATGCAGAAGCATTTTGGGAAGCCTTAGAGGATACATTTGGTCTTTGTAGACAAACTCTGCCAGAAGATGGCTTTCAAGGTACCATATTTTGGTTCCCACTTCGTGAAAACCCTTCCGTTCTCTCAGAAACTTTGTACAATGAAAGTAAGGTTAAAAATCTATTCGATTCATTTGCATCGGATGCATCAAACATATTACTGTTCCTTAAAGATATTGAGAAAATATCATTGCATACCAGGGATGAAGACAGAAAAATAAGTGAAACTCTCCTATTGGAAATTGAGGACAAAGATGGTGCTGTTAGACGTTCCCGACAAGCTTTTAAGGACCAAATTCAGACTCAAAATATATCACCTGAGTGTCCAGATATACATTCTACAATACACCTTGTAATACACATGTTGCATGGTGATAAAGAAGAGCATCAGGAATGGCTGGTTGTAAACTACTTTGTAAACGAAAGTGCATCAGCTGGTTTCCGAGAATTGATACAAGATAAAAACCTAGGATACAGCCCCTATGTCGGCGTTGCAACATCTCTTACAGAAATTGAAGACGACTTTGAGGGACATGTTTTTTGTTTCTTGCCTTTGCCAAAGGAAGGTGAGCGGCTGACTGGGTTACCTGTGCATGTAAATGGTTTCTTTGCACTCAGCCAAAACCGACACCATATGAAATGGGAGACCGAGGAACAAGAGGGAAAGCCAATAGATGACAAGTCAATTCTTTGGAATAAAGCTCTGATTCAGGAAGCCCTTCCAAAAGCATATGACTTACTTGTCCTGGAAATTATAGAAGTTTCAAAGAATAATTCAAATGATGAAATATCTGTTAAGGCCGTATATAACACATTGCCAACATGTAAATCATCACCAAGAAAGACCCACAAGAGATGGATGGAGTTAGAAAATAAACTTTATGAATATCTTGGTAAAAGAGAAATTTTATATGCAATGCACACAAGGGAATGGATCGACTTGAGAAGAGCATTCTTTGCAACATTTAAGACATTGTCAAGTAATGAAGGTGATGTTGCACTGCAGGAATCTGTTGTAAGATGTTTCAAGAAAATAGGCGTCCAGTATGTTGACATTCCATTTTCCTTGTTTGACACCTTGCAATCACATTTTCCATACATAAAAGATCTCACCCCAGAATCATTAGCTTTGCAACTGAAACAACAACAACACTATAAGGATTTGACACACAAGGACAAAATAAATATCTTAGGCTATTTACTAAGAAATGAAGTCAATCTTCAAGACCTTGAGTTATTACCCCTGGCCTCTGACAAGTGGATTGAATTCAGGAAAGGAAGTCAGCCCATTTATCTTTGTTCTGATGCAGCCGTGAAGATGTTTCCAGGCCAAGAGAATAGAATGGTCATGGAATCTGCAAAACTTGGAGCACAGCTGACAGAATTCATTGAAAAAATATGTAATTCAGGTAAAGTTACCCTTTATTATCCATAGTATATGTTACATAGTTTAAGTTGTTGACTTCAAATCACATCCCTGTTATTGCTGTGGGTTCAAATTCTGTCTGGTACTTCTTTCATGTGAGGAAGCTATCCAGCTATCTTACATAATATTGGTGGTGTTTCTTAGGTGCCAGTTTGTGCCTGAAATGAAGCCTTCCTCCACATTTAAAGCTAGAAAGTCGCCATATGACCTATACTCTGTTGGTGCGACTTCCAACAATGAAAACAGGAAAAAGACAGGTTGAGTTAAACCACCATCCTAGTGAGCACTATATTTAGGATCTGAAATTATAACAATAAAGGTCAGTTGTATGCCTTAAAGGACAGCTGCATGCAAAATGTAAACGAAATTTACGATACTGTTTACGAGTTACTGACACTCGTCTGAATAAAAGCTTGAATATAAGAATTGCTCTATTAGGAAATATAAACAATATTTTCCTAAAACAAATAAAAATATTCACGTAAAAGACTAAAGAAAAAGTATTGTTTCTTTAATATGTATTAAAGAGATACACTTTCCCACAATTTTAAACATTTTTTATGCCCCCACAAAGTGGGAGCATAAAGTGTTGCACTTGTCCGTCCGTACGTCTGTCCGAGCAAACATTTTGGGTTTAGGGGCTATGTAACAGTAAAGAGAACAAAAAAGAACAATAGGTTCATTCCGTGATCAAAGGGTTTATGGGCTAGTAGCCCTTAAGAAAACAAAGAAACTAACAAAGAAAATAGCCCCTAAACCCAAAATGTTGGAACGTCCGTCCGTCTGTCCGTACGCCCCGAAATCTTGTGAACGCAACTCCTCCTCTTAAACCGGATGGCAGATTTTGCTTAAACTTTCAGGGATGAATAACCTTAATGTGTAGATGGCATGAAAGGAAGGAATTTTCGCTGCGACCAAATTTAACAGATTTATGGCCCTTTGTTGATTTTTTCTCTATGTACCATATATAAATTTTGTGAACGCAACTCCTCTTAAACCGGATGGCAGATTTTGCTTAAACTTCCAGGGATGAACAACCTTAATGTGTAGATGCCATGAAAGGAAGGAATTTCCGCTGCGACCAAATTTAAAAGATTTATGGCCCTTTGTTGATTTTTTCTCTATGTACCATATATAAATTTTGTGAACGCAACTCCTCTTAAACCAGATGGCAGATTTTGCTTAAACTTTCAGGGATGAACAACCTTAATGTGTAGATGGAAGTAAAGGAAGGAATTTTTGCTGCCTCCAAATTTAACAGAATTATGTCCCTTTGTTGATTTTTTCACTATATACCATATATATTTGTCATTGGGGGCATCCGTGTCCTTTGGACACAGTTTTAGTTATGCTCCTCGAAAAATTTCGGGCGAGCATATAGTCGGCGCCTTGTCCGTCTATCCGTCTGTCTGAGCAAACATTTTGGGTTTAGGGGCTATATAACAGGAAAGAGAACAAAAGAGAACAAAAGGTTCATTCCGTGATCAAAGGGTTTATGGGCTAGTAGCCTTTAAGAAAACAAAGAAAATAACAAAGAAAATTGCTCTACACCCAAAATGTTGGAACGTCCGTCCGTCCGTCTGTCCGTCCGTTGTCTTCCGGAGCATAACTTGAAAACCCTTGGAGAGAATTTGTTTAAACTTCATACAGTGGTAGAGGGTATTGAGGGGGAGTGCAGTGTCAAAGAACCATAACTATATTTTGCACGGTTTTTGAATTATCTCCCCTTATAGAGAAATGTTGTCCGGGACATAACTCTAAACTATAAGAGATATCAACATGAAACTTTGTAGGTGAATAGATCTCGATGGGTAGATGTGCAGTGCATAAGAACAATAACTCTTGCTGTCCTAATTTTGGAGTTATTGCCCTTTGTTAATTTTAACACTTTGAACTTTGTCCGGAACATAACTCTAAAACTATAAGAGATATCAAGATGAAACATTGTAGGTAGATAGATGAGTAGAAGTGCAGTGCAAAAGAACCATAACTCTGTTAAGCCTCATTTTTGAATTATCTCCCATTTTAGAAAAATCTTGTCCAGGACATAGCTGTAAAACTATAAGAGATATCAACATGAAACTTTGTAGGTAGATATATCTCAATGGATAAATGTGCAGTGCACGCAGTGCACAAGAATCATAACTCTGCCGTGCCTAATTCTGGAGTTATTGCCCTTTGTTTATTTTTATTTTTTGAAGTTGTCCGGGACATAACTCGGAAACCATAACAGATATCAACAAGAAACTGTGTAGGTTGATAGCTCACATTGATTAGAAGTGCAGTGCAAAGAACAGTAACTCTGCCTTGCCTAATTTTGGAATTATTGCACTTTGAACTTTTTCCAGGGACATGACTTTGAAACTACAAGATAGTACTTTCCTTTGTCCAAAACCTATTCAGGGAGCATCACCCGGCTCAAACCGGACTCTTGTTTAATCATTATGTTTCCCAAAGTTTTTGGGAGACATATTGTCTTTCCCTTCGCTGTCCATCCGTCTTCCCGGTTGTCCGTCCGGAAGCGTGTGTCTGCGTTAAGCTTGTCCGGCCTTCACAAGTCAATCTACTGGTGGGATTTCAACCAAACTTTACAGGAGTGATAAATACCATCCCTAGTTGTGCACATCACCAGCATGTTCCGCTTTGCTGCAAAAAATGGCCACCAGAGCTAAAATTAGAAAATTCTTGTCCGGCCTTCACAGATCAAACTTCTGGTGGGATTTCAACCAAACTGTACAGGAGTGTTCAGTACCATACCTAGATGTGCTGCAAAAAATAGCAACCAGAGCTAAATAAAAAAGAAAAAGAAATATCTTGTCCGGCCTTCTAAGGTCAAACATTTGGTGGAATTTCAACCAAAGTTTACAAGAGTGATCAGTACCATCTTTAGTTGTGCACATCCTTAGCAAGTTCCGCTTCACTGCACAAAATGACCACCAGAGCTAAAGTAGAAAACGTTTGTTTAGCCTATAAACACTGGTCAAATAACTGGTGGGATTTCGACCAAATGTTACAGGAGTGATCAGTATCATCTGTAGTTTTGCACATCACTGGCACGTTCAGCTTCACTGCACAAAATGGCCGCCAGGGCTAAAAATAGAAAAATCTTATCCAGCCTTGACAGGCCAAACTACTTGTGGGATTTCAACCAAACTTTACATGGGTGATCAGTACCATCTGTAGTTATGCACATTGCCAGCATGTCCCGCTTCATTGCACAAAAATGCGGCAAGAGCTAAAAATAGAAAAAATTTATTCAGCCTTCACAGGTCAAACTACTGGTAGGATTTCAATGAAACTTTACATGTGTGACCATAAATAGTTTATGTTTTAGTGACAAAAACCCTTCTAGTTTTTCCTGCCTAGTTTAAAAAATCTCTCTGAAAATTGCCAAATTGAGGGGCTGTAAGAACTGTATTGGTTGATCTTGTCAAATGTTTTAGTAGTTTTAAATTTGTTCTCCTGTTGTGTGGCACGTAACTCTAAAAGTACTTGAGCTACAGTCAACACAATCTACAGGATTGTTGATCAACATGTGAAGTTGTGCACCTGGGGCTTTGCTTGTTGATAAATTTAGTTTTGTAAGAGTAATTGCACTTGACTTAGTAAATATTGGCAATTTTCAATTTGAGTTTTGATAGCTTTAAAAGTATTAGACCTGACCTAGAGTCAATAAACTTCACAGGAAGATTGGTCAGCATGTGTAGTTGTGTACCTGGGGGTTTGCTGGTGGATTGATACAGTCTTTGTAGAGTTATTGCCCTTGACTTAGTTTCAACTTTTGTCTCAAGAAACTGAAAGGCATATGACCTAGAAACATGAAATTTTTATCATCTGCAGTAACTGTTGTGCACCTTGGGTTTTACATGTGGATGAATTCTGTTTTGTCAAAATGTTTGCCCTTGACTTGTGTCACACAAAATTCAACAAGTATTTGACAAAGAGTCATGAAACTTCAGAGAATGTGTAGTTACGGATTTTGTTGTGGATTGATTCAGTATTTATAGAGTTATTGGGGTAACCTGTATCCTATGGACACATTTGTAGTTTTTAACTTTGAAAATATTGGGTACCAAATTTTTAAATGAATATAGCATCATTATGTAGTGAAAAAAGACCTATAATGATTAATGTTATCAAGATTAATCACTATTTTCTTTCAAAAAGTGATCGGAATGATAAATAATGTTAAAAAAAAGTAAAATGAAAATTTTATTTACTGGACTGAACCTACAACCCAAAATTTTAAAGCAGTGGATAGAATTTGTAGTCTATTTAAATACTCTTCAGAGTGAAGGTCATGCATTAGGATGGTCATACCTTAATAGCTGTTTTGATGAAAAACTGTTCCGAGCCAGGAGGGTGTCATATCTTTTTAGCTCTCTTGAGCACTAAGTGCTCAAAGGTGAGCTTTGTGAGCACCATGCGTACATCGTGTTGTGAGTCCTCCAAAAAATGGCGTCAGACTCTTTAAACAACAACTCCTCCTATACCAGTAGGCCAATATTGCTGAAACTAAGCAGGAATGTTCTGATGCATGAAGTTCAAAGAACTCCATTTCATGCTAAAATCTGTTTTAAAAACCAGAATAGCTAGTGCTTAGATTTTTTTTGGCATGAAACATCTTACCAAGTTTGTTGAAATAAAACCCCAAGGGTCAAAATTGGCCCAGCCACAGGGGGTCATTGATTTCCCTTATAATTTATATATATATTAAACACTTAAAAATCTCTTGTGACAATCCAAAAGCACTATAGATGAGATATTTGGCATGAAACATCTACAAGTAGATGTCTACCAAGTTTGTCTAGGGTAAAAAATGGCCCGACCCCAGGTAGTCATTGGTTTTTCTTGTATGAATATAGTAAAACTTATAAAAATCCTCTTGTGACAATCAATAAGTACTACAGATTTAATATTTGGCATGAAACATCTTCTAATGGACGCTGCCAAGTTTGTTCAAATAAAAGCCGTAGGGTCAAAATTGGCTGGCCCCAGAGGGTCATTGATTTTCCTTTTATTTATAAAGTAAAATTTAAAAAAATCTTCTTGTGAAAATCCTTAAGCACTATAGATGAGACATTTGGCATGAAACATCTCCTAATTGATGTCTACCAAGTTTGTTAAAATAAATACACAATTGGCCGGTCCCAGAGGGTCAATGATTTTCCTTATATGTATAAACTAAAAATTTAAACAATGTTGTTGTGACAATCCAAAAGTACTTTAGATGAGAATTTTGGCATCAAACATCTTCTAGAAGATGTCAATCAAGTTGGTTCAAATACTGCCCTAGGTTCAAAATTGGCCCTGCCAAGGGGGTCATTCATTTTCCTTTTATATATATAGTAAAAACTTTAAAAAACTCTTCCTGTGACGTTTAAGC